TGACTTAGCAGTAGCGGGGTCATGTGCAGTCCTCGAGTCTGTCAAGACTCGTTCCAAGTCTCCTGTGACTGATGGTCACGTGATCCATCCTCACAACAGATAAACGCCTCGCACACCTTAGATAGATTCCTCCTTCATAGCAACAATTCAATGTTTGCCTCACGATTGGAGATTCCCGACAGTGAGACTCTTACAAAAGGTACTCTATAGTATAAACTATAAAGCTCATTATAAGAGCTAGAATAAGTAGAATTAGAAACTAGAGTAGTAGCTATAGTAGGATATTATAGGCTCGAGGGACCTCGTTATCTCGTATTACGAGAAATATAAGGAAGCGCCGGATATCTACCCAGCCTTTATAAATAACGAGCTCTGGCATAGCTTACGCCTAAATTGATTAAAGAAAAAGATGATTAGGACGACGACCTTATTATATCATTAGATAGAGCGCTTAGTAGACTTCGCGTGTTTTAAAGGAGGGGGTAGTATGATAGATCAGAGGTCTATAGACCTAGATACCTTGTAGCCTTATGGCCCGTTTGCTCTACAGTATCAGGACATAACGCCTCGCACACTTTAGATAGATTCCTCCTTTATAGCAATAATTCAATATTTGCCTCACGATTGGAGGTTCCCTACAGTGAGACCCTTACACCTCCTAACCCCCCCTGAGATCGCACTTAGACCTGAATAGGCTTCGAAGTTGGCTTGCGCCTCAACGCATACACTTGTTCAATATCGCTTATAGATAGCTTCCTGTTTCTCTGCCGACAGATAGCCGTTGAAACATGAACCAAATTCTTGATTTCTCGTCCGTTGATGTCGTACTTCCTTGCCAATTCTCGACAAACATCGAGATCCCAATCTTCAGGGACATGAGAACCCTTCAAATGCGATTTCCAGATATTTGCCTGTCTATCAACGTCCAATGCCTCGTACTGTAAACGAATGTGAATCCTAGATTCGGCCGCGTCGTCAAACTCATCTTTTCGATTCGAAGTGAGAAACATAACGCCAGGAAAGTACTCGAGATGTTTTAAGAACACCGCAACAAGACCATTGTGGTCGTAATTGCCGGTACCGGTTTCAGCTCTTTTTGAGAGGAATACATCGGCTTCGTCGATAAGTACGACTGCGGAGCATTTCAGTGCTAGTTTGAGAAGGTTATGAAGTTCTCTGTCCGTACGCCATGCATCTTCGCCGAGATCACCGCAAGAAATTCGTAAAAGAGGTCGTCGCTTCTGTTCTGCAATCAACTCTACTATGTAGTTAGACAATTGTATCTCGGAATATTCGCACGCAATTTGCATCTCACCTGCCGTAAGAGTCTTTCCACATCCTGGAGGACCGTAAAGCAGAATAATCAAGCCCTGTCCCTTCTCTCCAACAACATCACGAAATGCTCCATTTTCCAGATGCTCCGTAACAACATCAACCAATATCTGCCTTTCGTTGTCATCGAGCTGAAGCTCCTGGATCGGGTCTTCTTTCCAGTCAATAGCTTTGGCTCGCTTAATGTCGAAATACGCCCATTCTTTTTCGGAAAGGCTGTATCCTGGTGACCAAGCAGGGCAGATTAACGCTTGCAGCGGACTTGGTACGAATTCAACGTCCCCGTTCATTTTCGGCACGCAGCTCCAGATGTCGCCTTCTGGAATCCATGACTCTTCTGAAATATCCAGTTCAGGAAGACCAAGCGGCTCACCATCCTGTTCTTGCTTTGGCGGTTGGATGGTATAATTCTGAGATCGACGCGCTGTTGTATGAAGGCTAACATCAAGTCGAGGATATGTGGCTACGAATGATTCATGACTTAACACGATGCGACCGGATACCTGGAAATCGTTAATCCCTCCAGTAGAGATACGTCACTTAATGACCTACATGTATTGGAACAAGTTCTATTTTCCAGGGCTTGTTAACATTCCTTCTTGGGACTTGAACAACGCCTATAGTACAAATTAGAGTCGATCTGTGCGCCGTGAAAATACTCTTACTTACCGTTGTATTTGTAATGCTTGCCATCTATAACCTCGACAGTCTCGCACCACTTCTTACCGCGTTCGATCAATGTCTCGAATAGCTTCTCCCTCTTTTCTTTCGAGAGAGCCTCAATAGGGTAATAGTCCAGCTCGGTAATCTGCCGGGCTGCTGAAAACTCATCCAACCGGATCTTTTTGAGCGAAGGACCAAACATTGTTCCGTTGTATTGCCATCTGAAAGCTCTGAGTTTCACGTAATTGCCGCCCTTCTGTTTATCTTCTAGAATGTCACTGATATCATGTAAGATTACACATTCCTGAAGTCCATTTTCCTCTCCAACCAAAATGCCTCCACTAGCAAAAATCATCTGGACGTGCTTAAATTCAATGAGACCTTTCACAACCTGGCTCTTGTGAATGATTTCCAGCTCCTGGAAACTATCGTCCATGAATTTCAGCAACCATTTGAAATGCGTCTTTCGCATTTCGTCGTTTGATGTTAATGCGGCTTCCGCAATCTTTTTGATCTTGTCTCGACGTTGAAACAATGGATAATATGGCTTCTGAAAGATGATCGGGTCCGCGCGAACATCGAGTTGTGAGTGTTCACTAAAGGCGCTTCGAATTGCTTCCTGCATAATCGATGATTGGATTTCGAGAAATGTTCCTTGGTGCTCGTATTTGGCATTGATTTTGTCCCGGATAACCATGGCGTACTCTGGAAACTGTCTATCTGGGCGAACAGTTCCTGATTTCTCCGTGATAATTGCCGGACCTCCGCTTTTCGGCTCTTGTTGCCGAATTGAAATTTCCGAATGTTTGATATCTAGCAATGGTTAACTCTAAAGTTATCTGGAGTGGTGGTTTTTCGGACTTGGTTCTTCCGTCTTCCCCTGCCCTGAGGCAGCTACCTTGTCTTTCAACTTTGAATAGTCTTCGTCAGACATGGTGAAATATATCCAAGAGTAAAGAGTTGAAAAGGAATCGAATCCAATATTATCGGAGGAGAAATTAAGTTGCGTCGGCACTGGGACTGATCGCGGACCTCACGGCCACCAGAATAGGTTCATGCCAGCTCATACCCAACAAGAAGAGATAGTAAACCTCCTCGTCACGCTTGAAGCAGATGTGATAAAAGAACCGAACAAATGTTCAGAAGGGTCTTTTAGGTATTAAGGCTGCGATTCAAGGCGGGTTCTTACTACTGACCGGTGAGGCCATGTCGTACGATAATTGAGGCCGGTTCCGGTTAAATCACACCGGCCGAATTCTTGTGGCAGGACACCATAAGTAAAAATCCCTCACTCTGCATGCGTCAGGTATCTACCCTGTAGGCTTTTGGGGCTGGTCACCAGTCAAATCACATGGGCCATATCCTTGTTGCAGGACAAGGCTGAGGAAAAATCCTTCCGTCTGCATAGCCCCAGCTATCGGCACTGCAGGATTTTAGAGGCCTATCTTGTCGGCGGCGCTTCATTAGCGAAAACGGACGTAGAAGATTTTCGACTTCACTGTGATAGAAAAGCTATCTCTACCTTGGCAGCGTCCTGGTACGGTGTTGAACCTGCCAGTTGGCATTTGCTCCAACTTTTCGAGTACTCGGCCGCTGAGCGATTGCAGTTGGAAGAAGCACTTCTTAGCGACCTCACCAATGTTGCGAACAACTTCATTTAGACCTGAACCGCGAACTAATTCCTTCCCGGCAAACGGTCGTGGTCGAGGCTCCGTAGCCGCGCACAAGCATGTAAACTCGGAATCGGGCTTCGAGTAAGTAATGCGATTCTTCTCTACTTACTCCGTGAAGCTCATCAATCACTTAAGTCATGAGGAGAAGAATATCGGCTTCGAACCCGTCGAACTAGGTCTTCGCTGGCCTGATAACTCTGCGAAAATACCAAGAATCTTAGTCCAACTAGATGAAGATCGAATATTTCAGGCAGCAACGGATTATCAACGCTGGACGAACGGGACTTACGTCTTCGAAAATCTCCCTAGGTTTGAGAATGCTATAATATCTGGCCTCACATTAGAAGACGAGAATGCCATGATCAAGAAGGAGATAGCCAAGTACGCCGAGTTTGCACGTTCTGATAAGCCACCCCTATTCAAAAGCAACGGCATCTTGGGTACTACCAACCCAGAAGGATTTCAGGATCTGGCGAAAGTGCTTGACCAAATCGAAACTCACCTCCAAGTTATCAACCATGACAACTATCTGTTGATCCTAGAGCACTTCCACCGTTATGATTTTTACAGAAGTTTCAAGCAAGCCCGAGATCTTATCAGAGAGCGTTACCAGAGAGAACCCCACGGGACGATTCGAATCAATGGTCGCGAACCGAAGCGGTTGGACGACGAAGCCAACAACATCAAAGTCTATCATGCTTTGGTCGATTTTGTTTTCAAATGTTTGGCCTGGTGGCTCATGCATATCGCAAAAAATGATTCTTGGAATGCTCACATCATTGCAGTTATGGCAAGATGGGCAGTCAAACTCAAGTTTATCGCTTTAGATCCGGTCCATTGGGTGGAAAAGGCTCTAGCTAAAGGAGAAGATGTAATGCGACAAATCCAAACGGAGCAGGAAGATGAAGACTGGATAAAAGTTAAGATCCCACATGTGAATTCAGGAGAAGAGGGGGCAAAGGTCGTCTTCCCTGACGACCCAAATCTAGCCGCGTCGTACTATGAGTCAAAGAGCCACTTCAGGGATATTTTGCTTCAACTGGTTAATGGGATGTTGAGCAACTTGAACACCAGACTCCTGGGTTCGGATTCGGTCGCATTGCCAGTACGCACTCTCATTTACCGAGATGGATTGAACCGAACATTGCGCCAGCTAGCTGTGCACCAGAACGGCCAAATCTCAACAACATCTGACGGCGAAGAGTTCCGATATAGCCACACGGCATTCCAATTACTGGTCTCGAACTCCCAGCGCATTGTAAATTGTGATCCAGAGGCGCCGAACGTGGCAAATGTCTGCTGGCACCATATTGTGAAGGGAGAAGTTTCTCCCATATATCGGGCTAAGGGAGAAAAGAGAACGGATCAGCTCGACGATATTATTTCCCTATTAGTACCTCTTAGCTTCATGAAAAACTCTGACATGGTCGAACAACTTCACTCTGCACTGGCTTGGACGATTGCTTATAAGGACCCGGACTCGCAAAAGTTGGACCGACCCCGTGAAGAAACCCTTGAACTAGAGTTCTCGATCACTACCCCTAAAAAGATCGGGCTACCGACGATGATTCACTCGGATACGATTCCGAGTTCGCAGAGTCCTCTCTTCACGGGTTTAGAAGGTAACTCATTATGCTAACTCAAAACTATTTGGAATCGCTAACAACGGATTCCGTCATACAGAGGAAATGAAAAGTCTCAAAGAGCGTCGGAACCCCATTCAGAGCCACGCTGCCATGGAGTTGAGGAGGAAAGCTTTCGGGCTTTTCAATGACTACAAGAGGGGAGAATCAGAGCAAGAGAGCTGGGCGATATGTGAAAACTCTGTCCGCATTAAAACAACAAAGTACTCGACTGTTGTCCTGGCCGTCGCCATCGTCATCATACTCGGCTCGCTCTGTGTCCCATTCCTTGTCGGCGAAAAGATCGAAGGCGTCGATCCCTTCCAATTCGTCACCTTCGGCTGGCTGCTCGCTGGGGCCTTCCTTATCGGCGCCAAAAGCCGATATGTCGAGGAATGGCCATGGCACGATTTCTTGCGCGGCCAGATCATCTGCCGCAGCGTGTCGGAGCTCGCACACGCATCCCGACTCAAGGAGCAAACCATCCTGCTTTACCTGCTCCAGAACGAATTCAAGAAGCCGCTGATGTTTCGCGGCGCGTTCGTCGGGCCGTTCAGCCAACATAGCCGTGTGGAGTCGGGGATAGACGCGTTCAACATCGATGTTGCACTGGATCATGCGGCGGCGCTAGCGGCAGGGTTTATCGTGCTCAAGGTTTGGGATAAGTGCGGATTGCATTTGCTGCTTCATGATTCTAGGGGCGATACGATTTATAATGATAAAGGCGATCTAGTTTATAAGGGTTTCGAAAGCAATCAGGCGAATAATAGTAAGAAGAAGGATTTAAAGGACCGTCAAGGACGTCAAGTGTCGGAGATTTTGAAGCTGGAGAGGGATAGGTTCACTTATCAAGTGCTCGGTCAGTACGTGAACGATTGTCAGTTTGGTTAATTGGATTGCTGGCTTTATTATATTGAATGGGTCATTACTACAGCGACCGCGATATAAGTCGACGAGAAGAATGTTTTGGAGGAAATAAAGCTACTATATGAAATGATACTGTTACGGCACGGTAGCTGGATGTACACAACATACACGTAGCCAAAGATATTCTAGATTAAGCTAAAGAAGAGAACAAGAAAGGGAAGCTTTCTTGTTTACATCGGAGAGGTTGGACTCTGATTCACCCTTAACCTAATCAGGCTTAGGCTCCCAGCCTTAGCCAACCAAGGTTTTCAACCCATAACAGATACAGAATCATAAT